CCATTTTAATTCATTTTCTTTTTCTTTGTTTACAGATATCTCCTTTCCCTTTTGATCTGATTAAAAATGAAGTGTTAAAGTATCCTAAAGCTAGATTGTGCTGGGCACAAGAAGAACATAAAAATATGGGAGCTTGGCAGTATGTTGAACCAAGACTTAGAACAGTTTTACGTAAAGTTAATGTAGATAAGGAAATAGAGTAAGTCTCCTTTAAACATACATTATGCAAGAGCTAAATCTGTCTATTGCAGGTCTTTCTTTAGGCCTGAAATGTTATATAAATTATTAATTAGACATTTATTAACCTATCCAGACCATAATCAACTCTAGATGGCATCGCTAGCCTGCGATCTTTAGTGGATTATGAGCCGATTTACTGCATAACTTTCCTTCACGATTTAACGATTAAATGGATAATCGAGACTAAGCTGTTTATTGTATTAACTTTAGTAATGATGATCGAGGCTAGGCGGAAATTTCAATCGCTTAGTTCTCGGTTCATAGTGGATCAATTTGAATTGAACAGACTCCTTAAATGTTGTGCTTTGAGCATTTGTATATGGATGGATAATTAAGCGCATTACAAATATACATTATTATTATTATTAACTAAACATGTTTCTATTACAGATATGCTGGACGTTATGCACAAGCCGCAGCAGCTACAGGAAATAAACACATGCATCTAGTAGAGTTATCTCAATTATTAGATCAAACTATGGATATCCACTAAAGATAGACATGACAGCTAAAGACATTATATATTAGAAGTCTTGTTATAAGGAGATATATATTTCTTGAATTAAGATTTCTATTTCGTTAATTTATACATTTTCATCTATTGCTGTTGGTTTTAGCTTTCGATAAAAAGGGGTTGGAGATGTTTAAATTAGGAAAAAAAGATATGGTATACTGTCATTGTTAATATTTTGTAATAGATAACACTAGTAATATTCCAGTATTTTACCGTTATGCAAGATATCTGTTCACATTTCTGCTATTGTCTATGAGTTAAAATTCAAGTGATATATTTGTATGAATTCTTCTATATATAAATGCATATGTTTTGATCTTTCTGAAATTATTGAATTTATTAGCACAACTTTAAAATAGTATTTTCTAGAAAAAAAAAAATATTTTTTGATGATACAAGATTGTATTATAATAAGATATTCTATTGGGGACGATAACACAATTTTGGGGATAAAACAGCAGCTTTTTCATAAATACGGTCAAAGTTCATTGTACTAATTGCAAGTGAGAGTAAGTGTAGTCGTATTTATTATAATAAAATATTGTAAATGTGTTGTATTTGTTTTTAATAAAATAATTATAAATGATTCAATATACAGATGTTTTTGATAAGTCAGTAAGTGTAGCCAAGCCTTGCAATAAAAGTGCCTCTTTAGCATGTAAATTTGGGTATTTTTAGACGGTACATGTACATTTCTTAAGCTTTTTTTTAATGAATTGTATATAGAAAATAAAATCAGATAATATATAGGAAAACAATATATACCAGTTATTTAGAAACTTAAAATATTTATATCAAAAAGATAAAATTGCCAGGCCTGGAAATAATGGTTTTAGATGTACCTGAAAAAATGTCAGGCACTAATTAAATAGTACCTGACATTTTCAACTTAGTGCCGGACATGTATTAATTATATCAATAAAAAGGACAAATCAGTGCCGGACAAAATGACAGGCATCAGAGGTTTAGTGCCTGACAAAGCCTGAATCTGTGCCTGACATTGTCTGTGACAGGTGCCTTATTTCCAGGCTTGAAAATTGCACATTTCATTAAAATAGAACAAAAGTGGTCAAAATGTATTTCAACTACATGCCATGCATTTAACATGAATTATGAGACAGCGTTTTATTTTGAAGATGTTTTTAGGGATGTTTGGTGTTATAACAAAAATATGCTACAGAATACACATAACGAAAGATTATGTCGGTCATATACTTAGCATTGTTTTGTAATGTAGATATGTTTTAATAGCCTGGATCTTTCTATGTTGAATGGCAGGGGTTGTTAATAAAGATAAGATTTTAAAATTTATTTGATTGGTTTTTTTTATACGGCCACGTTTTTATGTGGGCGTATTATGTCATTGCCCCTGTCCGTCCACTTGATTGTGTATAATCCACAGGTCACAATTTTTATCTAATTTTGATGAAACTTGAAATGTATGGTTATTTTCTCCAGGATCTCAGATGAGTTTGTTTTTGTCATCTGATGGATTATTGCCCCTGATTGTAGGAAAAATTGCATTTTTAGCTTGAGGACCCTCTACAGATTGCAAATCATGTGCAAAGTAATTTATATACCAATGTTTTGTATCCTCTAGAGGCCACATTTTTTTGATTTAGATGAAACTTGAAATTTGGGTTAAGAATCAAAAGATCTTCAAAAATTTGTGTCTTTGTGTCCATCGAACCTTCCGTTCTGGAGTTATGCCCATTGCCCCCCTGCCATTTATGCAAAAGTTTGTGAGCCCTCTAGTGTCCACTAGAACCCACAATTATTATCTTATTTGGATGCAACTTCAAAGTGTAATGGACAAGCCACAATAGGTGGCATGGCTGTAGATACAAACTGATGATTTGTGTTGTCTACATCTTGATGTTAATTAAAGCATCGGACAAACTCAATCTGTATAAAAGGGATAAGACGTGGCTCATGAGTGTAGAAATATACTAGAAAGAGGTACTGAAGATAGGGATTATTTCCATGTGTGGGGGGGGGTGTTGCATCATAAGGTCTGTCATTAAGTCAAGTGGTGTGGCATCTGATTAAAATACAGATCTATATTTCGTTTTGTTTTTTATATACTTTCGATGGCCTTCACTACATGAAGATCTGACAAGTTGTAGTGATAGGTCGCGTCAGAGGTCATACGAGCGGCTTTTGATCCTATGAAGTCAGACATTTGATTAACCAATCAGCATTGATGTTACTAGTGGATAACCCACTAAGCTCACTGTAACAGACCGTTTCATTAGCTAATTCCTCACACCATTCAGAACACATCCATGATAACAACTCTTCCAGATCCTATTGTTGTAAAGACAAGTAAAACAGAATTTTGAACTATAAAAACGAAACGAAATAGGATCTGTGTTTTAATCAGATTGGTGGCATGGTTTCAATTCCCTGCTTTTATGTGACAAGGAGTAGGGTTTCCTCCACTGCTAAAGACCCCTACAAGCAAGTGAATTAATTAAATAAAATTGAACCATGTGTTAGTCCTGAAATGACCTAGTTTGTGTCGAGTGGATGTTAAACCACATTTCTCTCTCTTTCAAAGTAATATCATGGATAAAAACCAATATTTCACATTGTGCGTAAGGGTCTTTAGCAGTAGAAGGACCTGGAAAAACCCACGAGGTTGGACAGGTGACCCTACTCCTGTCACATACAACCGAGCAATCGAAAGACGCCAGTTGACTCAATGACAGATACAGCGCACACGTGCTAAAGATTCGGCCATCCAACCCCCTTATTACTTTTAACATGAAATATTGTGAGGTAAATACACCCAGCAAACAGAGAATAATATTTAAAGTTGAAAGTGCTTTTCTTCCCCCCCCCTCCAAGTACAAATAACATGGACTTTATAATACCATGTTAACTTGAACAGCTTGTTTTATTGGATATTTATATAGAAGTATATACATGTTGGTGAAGAATCATTAGCATAACGAACGTGACAAGAAGTAGGGTTGCCTGTCCAACCTCGTGGGATTTCTCTGGGTCCTCCGGTTTCCTCCCACTGGCTAAAGAACCCTACGCGCAATGAATTATTGAAATAAAATTGAACAATTTGTTAGTCCTGAAATGACCTAGTTTGTGTCGAGTGGACGTTAAACCCCATTTCTTTCTCTCTCCATTAGCATAACATTAGCATATCCTTTACAGTATCATGGGCTAAACTAGAATTTATTTCTTTATAAGCCATTAGTAAATCAAACTTTATTGGATATTTATGTAGAAGTAGGCCTACAGGGGCGAAGAATCGTTAACATGACATGAGCATATCCTTTACATGTTATATGGGCTAAACTAAAATGCATTTCCAAATAATGGTAGGCCTAGTGAAATGAAAAATATCCTACTTTTCTGCACCGACTGGGCTAATGAAGACGAGCATATACTTAATGCAGTATGTTAGAAGGGAAATTTTTGCCCAGGCAGCGGCACTACGTCTACTCTTATCTCGAATTCCAACTGTCAACGATTCTGTAAAGTGCATTCCAATGTGTAGCCCACACAGAGCATCGATTTTTGTCCCATCTGAATGACTAGACACTGTTCAAGCCAGGCCCCTTTTTCTTGCACTACTGACAAGGTGGAACCATGCGGAAAGGTAGACCTTGTGGATTTTCAAACAAAATTACATTGCTAAACCAAAAATAATGGTAGAGATAGTACATTTTCAAACACGAATGAAATGAAATAAAATGGGATGGGGTTTAACGTCCTACTGTTCTGCTCCGACGGGGCTAATGAAAACAAGCATATGCCATACAGTGTGCTATGAGGGAATTTTTGCCTGGACAGTGGTGCTACAGCCTACTGTTATATCAAATTCCAACTGTCAAGGGATCTTTTACATGCACGCCAATGTACACGGGACCTCAGTTTTTTGTCCCATCCAAACGACAAGACAGCTGTCTTTAGGCCCTCCATCCTGCACTGACAAGGGGAAACCACCGCACCTACTACATAATAAATTTACAAACATTACATGCATTTTTAATCTATAGTTATAAAATTAGGAGCATTATCATTTTATTCATTTCTTTTCATGGGGAATGGGAACAATTTACTTACCCCAATGAAAGCTGCATTAATTAAAAGCCAAGAGACGGAGCCGAGCGAATACAAAGTTGTAGTATATAAATCAAGTTGAACAAGATTTCGAACAACCAGACCGAAGTTGTTTCAGTTGTTTCGAACGAAACAATAAATAGGTAATAATATTCTCCTCACTGTTTACAATCGGAAGGGACAGTAATATAAAATATAAAGTATACATGTCATCCCTTTAGTCATAAAAGATGCATGTAACGGTAAAATAGCCATTCAGAAGCGGTTTATTGTAGTGGCCGGGTAGAATTTGACATTCGCCGTACTTGATTTGTTGGTGCATACAGAAGCATATCCAAAGCTGTTGGATTCAGCCCTCTGTTAATTATGTGTGAATTTTATACTGTTTTTTTTTCCGTATGGACCTTATAATACATTCTATTATAAGGTCCATATTTTTTAAAAGACCCATAGAATGTTCTTGAAGAAAGATTTGCTCTCTATACACCGGTAAGTAGGATACTGCATGGTTTTTCAGGAATAGGGGTGGGGGGGTAAGATGTCCAAATGCCTATGGTTGGCGCCTGCGCGTGGCATCATAAGGTCTGTTAACTGGCTTCTTTTCGATTTCCCGTTTGTACATGACAAGAAGTAGGGTTGCCTTTCCAACCTTGTGGGTTTTCTCTGGGTCCTTTGACTGTTAAAGACCCCTACGTGCAGGAAAATTATTGAAATAAAATTCAACCATTTTCTAGTCCCAAAATGACTTAGTTTGTGTGGATGTTAATCTCTTTTGAATTTATCTTCCAGAAATGAGCACCATGTCATCGAATGTGAAGATAACTGATTTACCATGGGAACATATAATATGCCGAAAAATTTTTCCATGTCTGAGAATTAGCACACTATTTGGTTTGCGTTGTGTAAGCAGAGAATTAAAAGCATTAGTTCAACTCTACTTTAACACTCTGTTTTCCTTAAACATCTCCCGGTGTTCTGGGAAAATGACAGCTGTGGCTTTTGAGATAATGACTTGCAATAATTATTGTATAAAAGTATTGAACTTAAGTAACTCTCGAGATTTTTTGTCGAATGATGGGCTAGTCCCAGTGTTGAGGAGAAATCCCCTTTTATCTGTGATAAACTTTGCTTCGTGTTCGGGTCTCAGTAATGTAAGTCTGCAGTCGTTGGCATCTGAGTGTCCAAGCCTAAAAACTTTGATATTACGAGATTGTCATTGGGTGAACGACGATGGTTTGTTGAGTGTTGCTTTACGGTGTGATCAACTAGTTACTTTAGATTTGACCGGATGTTGGAACTTAGGTAATAATACATTAAAAATTGTCATTGGGAAACTTGAAAAGTAAGTCTGACATTACGTTAATCTAATATTGTGAAAGCTGTTAATTTGGTTATCTGGTTGCTGCACTATATGATAGGGGTGAGGTGGGGATGGCCGATTGGTTAAGCATGTATGCGCTGTATCATAAGATCTGTCATTGAGTCAACTGGCGTGGTTTCGATTCCCCTGTAGTGTAGCCTGTCAAACCTTGTGCATTTTCTCCGGGTCCTCTGGTTTCCTCCCACTGCTAAAGACCCCTACTACTCGCAAGCGAATTATTGAAATAAAATTGAACCATATGTTGGTCCCAAAATGACCTAGTTTGTGTCGAGTGGAAATTAAACTCTCTCTCTCTCTCTCTCTCTCTCTCTCTCTCTCTCTCTTTCTTTGACTTTTTTAACTCTATTAATTTGGAACTACTAATAATTAAGTGAATTTATGTTTCAGTCTTGAGGTTTTATCTCTAGCTAAGATATATGGTGTAACCAATGATACAGTTAACATACTAGCACAGACCTGTAAACGATTAAGACATTTAAATATACATGGTTGCTGGAGAGTCACTAATGATGCTATTTGGTAAATATTGTTCCATTAACTATAAACATACATATGCCTATTACCTGCATATCATATAAAGGGGGTATGGGTGGCCGATAGTTCAGCTCTGAACGTAGGTCTCATTACACTCCCCCTGTACGTTCAGGAACTGTCCTACTGAATCTTTGCCGAAAAAATTTCACTTCCCAGTAAATTTTACTGGGCAACTTTTTACTGCTAAACAGTCGCGTACGTCAGTCCCTATGAACGCCTGCACAGTATAAATGAACATCTTAGTGAGAAAATAAGACCTTGCTTGCCTCGCTAGAGCCAGTATGAGCGACACAACATGCTGTCTTCTGACCGACTTGGCGGACTTCATTGAAAGGGTAATGCACAAATTTACAAACTCGGTCATATAAGATGAATCAAAATTTAGGTAAGCCTGGGTTTCCTCACACTGCTAACGACCCCTACGCACAAGTGAATTATTGAAATAAAATTGAACCATGTGTTAGTCACGAAATGACCTGGTTTGTATTGAGTGGACATTAAACTCTGTTTCTCTCTCTCTTTCACTGTCCTGCGGGGTGGGGTGGGGATGGCCGAATGGTTAGCACATGCGTGCTGTGCTGTGTCATAAGGTCTGTCATTGAGTCAGCTGACGTGGTTTCGATTCCCCGGTTGTAAGTAACAAGGAATAGGGTCGCCTGTCCAACCTCATGAGTTTTCTCTGGATCCTCCGATTTCCTGCCACTGCTAAAGACCCCTACGCGCAAGCGAATTATTGAAATAAAATTGAACCATATGTTAGTCCTGAAATGACCTAGTTTGTACCGAGTAGAGGTTAAACCCCATTTCTCTCTCCCACTCTTTCTTTCTCCCTCTCTGTGTGGATGAAGCATGAAAGGATAATAAACCCCATTTAATTTCTCATGGATTATATCTTCCATGTCCAGTCAGGTGGTTGATGCACAGGCCTGGTTTCGTAAAATCGAGGATTATGTACAGTTTTGTATAGTTGCCAATTTTATTAATTGTTTATGACTAAATGTTGCTTTCTGGGTTTTATTGCAGGTTGTTAGGAGAATATTGTTCATCTTTAAAATTACTTCAAGTCAAAGACTGTCGTGATATCAACGAAATAAGCTTAAGTAAATTGAGGGCGAAGAAAGTGAGAATAGATGTGGCTCCACCTGTTAGTGCTCCGAACTTGGCAAAACTATCCAGATTGTCATTAAACTTACAGACATAATCAAAACATAAACACTACGATGTTAACTGTCTTTTTCTCTCCCACAGCCCCGACCCCTTACAACCTTACAAAACGAGTCAGTCTTCTGAATTTGAGTGCTCAAACTATAGACCGACTCGATTTGTCTCCTGTGCAGAAACATCTCTACAGCGCACTCAATTTGGACTCTTCTGTCCTCAGAAGATATCCCATCTCGTCCAGTCCAACCTGGAAGAAACAGTAGACAAAATGGTGGAATACAACAACTGTAGATAAAATTGGTGTATTTGATGCTAAAAAGCACATAAGATGGACGAGAAAACTTTTCGGTACATATAGCCAATGATTACTATATCCACTTTATGGCAAGTTCACACCAATCTAATTAAAATTGATTCTGCTATCTTAACTCAAAGTCACAAAAAGAGACCTTCCGTAAAAACAACTTTGCCAATTATTGAAAACACTCATAATCCCCTCAGACGCCAGTGACGTCACAGTGACGTTTATTCCTTAATTACCTATATACAGCCGGTGTGTTTATTCATTAACACCTGACTGATTCCTTAATCCCCTAATTAAATAAAACAATTGACTGGAGATGTGTATAGACAGTGATATATTGTATAGATAACTATGTGTAGTCCCTGTGACGTCGGGGGGTTGGATGGCTGAATGGTTAGCGCGCGCTGTATCATAAAGTCTGTCATTGAGTCGACTGGTGTGACAAGGAGTAGGGTCGCCTGTCCAACCTCGTGGGTTTTCTCCGGGTCTTCCGGTTTTCTCCCACTGCTAAAGACCCCTACGCGCAAGCGAATTATTGAAATAAAATTAAACCATTTGTTAGTCCCGAAATGACCTAGTTTCTGTCGAGTGGACGTTAAACCCCATTTCTCTCTCTCTACCCTGTGACGTCACCAGCCAATCAACCTGATTAAGGGTGTAATTGAAACATTGAAAAGCATTTTTGGGTATCCAATACTTAAACATTAATATGTCGAATAATTTTAACCGGATTGATGTGAACTTGCCGTAATGTGTATATAGTTACCACTGGCTATAAGTACATAAAATCTAGTTTTATCATCTTATGTGGTCTTTAATGGTAAATAAACTGATCTTATCAGCCATATATATTTCTGCTGTTCACTCGATTTCCATGTCTGAAATAGTCTTCCGGAAGAGCTTCTACTGCAAATCGAATCGTCCTTTGGTGCAGATATTTATTATGTCAATGTCTTGATTGCCTTTGATGATGTAGAGCCAATCTGATTAAAACACAGAGCTTCAGCCGTGTTTTGCCTGGAACTGTGGGTAATCCACTAGTAACATCAATGCTGATTGGTTAATCAAATGTCTGACGTCATAGGGTCAAAAGCCGCTCGTATGACCTCTGACACGACCTATCGCTACAACTTGTCAGATCTTCATGTAATGTAGGACATCGAAAGTATAAAAAAACAAAACGAAATATAGATCTATATTTTAATCAGATTGATGTAGAGCATAATGTGCAAGTAATTAATATGTCATGTATCTATTTTGGGATTGAGTAGCAGGAGGACATCAGCTTATTGGTTTGTTAATTAGTTTGTGGTGTAGTGTAGGCTACCTTGTACTACGTATATGTTGCCTTGAATCTGCAATGTTGGAATTGACATTGTGTTCTTCCATGGACAGACTTCTAGTGTAAAATAACTACCAAAGCCATTTTGATATGTTAATTTGGAAGTAAACAGTATAAAAATACAGAATGTACTAGAAACCTATACAATATTCACACAAGGCTAAATCTATTTGTTAAGGCCAGCTCAATTTTTTTCAAGGTCATTGAGATGTAAATATAAGGTTAGAGAACGTGATTGTTGGCAAGATTGCAGGTTAGGGTAAGCATTGGGGCTAGGTCTAGGGTTAGGGTTGGCAATTGGCATTAGCGCTAGCCCTGTTTACTACTCGTGACCTATGGCGAAAAAATGAGCTGGCCTTATCATTTAGCACTAACCATGATTCAACCTGTTTATTGACCTATAAAATAAGATTAGGATATTGATAAAGCTGTGAGCAGTAAATACTTATTGCGTTGGCTTTCCTTCAGCGTAAAGCTCTGAATTAAACTTATTTCAAGCAAATCAAAAGTAGTAAAGAGATTTGTCTACGATATCACCCATGGTGGAAGTGGACGTAAAACTATAGGAAAGAATAAGAAGTAGTAAAGAGAATTAACCACATTTCATCAGTTTCTGATCAGTAAGTTTAGTAATTTATCCTAAAGTTAGCCTCATTTGTCATAATTATCCAGTTGTAAATTTTAATGGGAAATATCCTTTCCTTTTTCGTGATAATTATCCAGTTGTACATTTTAATAGGAAATATCCTTTCCTACTTTATGCATAAGTGTTTACAATTCGACCCATTTGTGATATGACTTTGAATTCAATTAGGCCTAAAAATACCAGAATTTATCAAAGAAAGCAAAAATTATACAGAATCATGGGAGATAACAAATAAATTCTCAAAGGCCTACTTGTCTTTCTATAAGTCATTAATATTACTTGTCTACGTCGTAGACTCTATGATATCACCTTAGGTGGAAGTGGACGTAAAACTAGAAACGAGCGAACGAACGATTAATATTATTAGCATATTTTATTATATAAATATATATATTTTGTAGGGATTAATTTATGTACTTATCTATATAATGAATAAATTGTTGTCATTACTATCCACTTGTAAATTATGAATAAAATAAAATGGGGTTTAATGTCCTACTGTTCTACACAGATGGACATATGTCATACAATGTGCGATGAGGGAAAGAGGGGGTTGGATGGCCAAATGGTTAGCATGTGTACTGTATCATAAGGTCTGACATCGATTCCCCGGTTGTATGTTACAAGGAGTAGGGTCGTCTGTCCAACCTTATGGGTTTTCTCCGGGTTCTCTAGTTTCCTCCCACTGCTAAAGACCCCTAAGTGCAAGCGAATTATTGAAATAAAATTCAACCATATGTTAGTCCTGAAATGACCAAGTTTGTGTCGAGTGGACGTTAAACCCCATTTCTCTCTCTTGATGAGGGACATGTTGCCCCAGACAGCAGCGACACTAAGGCCTATACTTATTTCAAATTCCAACTGTCAAGGGTTCGTTTATATGTATGCCAGTGTGTACACAGGACCTCGATTTTTCATGCAATCCGACGGACTATACATTGTCCCTTACCAGACCTTCCGTCCTGCACTACTGGCAAGAGAGAACCACGCCCAAAAATCCAGATGAACTTTCTGGTCCAAGCAGAGGCGTAGCCGTGAAATATATATTGGGGGGGAACCGCAACCCTAACCCTAACTCATTTTTAAATCCCCTAACGCATTTTTAAAAACCCTAACAAATATAAACAAACACCATGTGGCCATGTTGTCTACCAAGACACCGCAAGCAAAAGCATTATGGTTATGTTGCTGGCTGAGCGGGCGATAAATATTTGGTTTAGGCGATAATGTTTTGGGGTACCTACATGCGATTCACTCTGATAAGTGGTAGAAAAAAATTAACAAAATATTACTGACAGGCTAACTAGACACAATTTTATGGAACACAGTTACTTTTCACTTCACACATGTTTCCAGGATGATTCTCTCTGTGTTTTATTTTAGCAATGTAAACCATATTGGGATATGTACAGGTTTTATACAGATATAATCTTAACTAATCCTAATGATTGTTGTAAATAAATAGGAGTTTGGGCCTACAACGTAATTTTTTTTTTTTTTTGGGGGGGGGGCAAGTATATTCAGACCCCCCCCCCCCCCCACCGAAAAACAATTGGGGGGGGGGCGGACCCCCCCATGGGTCCAAGACAGTTATCAAACAGGTTAGCGAGTCAACATCTTATTCACTGAGCCGCCGTGGCTCCAAATTATATATAATTTGGTATCTTGTGTAATCATGTGTTCTAGTAGAGGCTGACACTTTCAATGGTGTGTAGAGGGTTTAGTGATGCCCTGTGCCAACTTCTTGATTGTATGCCCCCCAAGACTCAAGTATATGACTGCTTGTTCAACAGCAGTAGTTTCCCTCTGTGATTGGATGCTTCTCTCTGCCCCTCTCTCTGTGATTGGATGCTTCTCTCTGCTCCTCTCTCTGTGATTGGATGCTTCTGTCTGCCCCTCTCTCTGTGATTGGATGCTTCTGTCTGCCCCTCTCTCTGTGATTGGATGCTTCTCTCTGCTTCTCTGCTGTGAGAACAGCCAACTCGTTATCGAATCTCCCATAATGTATTATGTATCTTTTAGTAACGGATTTTGATCGGACTCCCTAGCGGACAGAGTCCGATCCGACACAATAATTTGCAAAGTACGATGTGTTCATTTAAATTACCCTCTGGACAAGTCCCCGGAACCCCATATGGTTCGCTATAAGTCTGTCAGTCCGCCAATGAATTTTGTTCAGAAACAACTTACACCCACAGGCACTTGACGGGATTAAAATAAAAGTTCTTACTATTGCTTGACTATATATTATATATGTTAGGCGCAATCTCCACCCCTCGCGCAGATTGCAATCTGCGCTGTCGTCCTGCGCAGATTGCACCCCGCGCGCGCAGATTGCAATCTGCGCTTATGAAGCTGGAGCGCAGATTGCCAACTTTGCGCTAATTACCCCTCGATATAGTCAAGCAGTAGTAAGAAGTTTTATTTTAATCCCTTCAAGTGCCTGTGCTTACACCAGCTAGACAATACCTTGAAATTACTATTATAACAAATCACTAACAAATGCGTGTTTATTAATAAGGCTTCAAACACATATATTAAACCGAGACCTTCCGGACATTGGTAACTGATGATTGATTCAAAGTTGGAATCACGAAATGAAATAATTATGTTACACCTCTAAAATAATCATTTTCGTCTTCCGTACTTCCAACTTTGAACTTACATATTTTTTCCACACCTTTGGTTTAAATCACACATCTTACAGCTATATATCTTTATAGTCGTCATATAAGATAAGATTTTATTGTACCGAAACATCCATTGAGGACAGCATGTACATACATTTATAACAAATAATATATATATTTACTAACAAGACAAATGATAATTTTAATCTAGGTTACACATTCACTAACATGACAAACAGTATAATGTTATGTAATGATCACAATTATGGAAACAGTTTTATATAATAAGCACTTTTGCTTGTTATTGCATCCTCAGAACGGGAGGCATCCTATTCACTTATATTCTCTTAAATTATAAATACTAATGTTCTCCTGAATAAAATACTGTTTAAACCAATACCTCGAAGCACGATTTTGAGGGATTTAGTGGTACAAAATACAACATTAACCTCTTATTCCCAGGGATCGACACCAAAAATTACATCTCTTGGGCGAATTGTAAATGGCTTACAGAAGTAAGACTAAGATTTGCATGCATCTTAGATGCCACGTTATTATTAGATTTAGCAGGTTGCTTTAACCATAAAATCAGGGGATATAAACTAAAAACAACTCGGGATAAAAAATTAAACGGCAAGTTCATGGTATTAGAAAACATTTCATTCAGTGATTATAGATTGTGTTTTACTGGTGTTTAGAGAGAGAGAGAGAGAGAGAGAAAGAGAGAGAAATGGGGTTTAACGTCCACTCGACACAAACTAGGTCATTTCGGGACTAACATATGGTTTAATTTTATTTTCATAATTCGCTTGCGCGTAGGGGTCTTTAGCAGTGGGAGGAAACAGGAGGTCCCGGAGAAAACCCACGAGGTTGGACAGGCGACCCTACTCCTTGCCACGTACAACCGGGGATTCGAAACCACGCCAGTCGACTCAATGACAGACTTTATGATACAGCGCGCGCACGCTAACCATTCAGCCATCCAATCCCCCAGAGAGAGAGAGAGAGAGAGAGAGAGGGAGAGAGAGAGAGGTTGTGTTCCGGTGTTTATAGGTTATTTGAGTGTTTGACACATAAACATGCATGTATATTTCAGTCGATCACAAGAGAGAGAGAGAGAGAGAGATAGGGGGGGGGGGGGGGTAACATCCACCTCGTGTGTTTTTTTCCGGGTCCTTCTGTTTCCTCCCACTGCAAAAGACCCCACGCGCAAGCGTATTATTAAAATAAAATTAAAACCATAAGTTAGTCCCGAAATGACCTGGTTCCCCCCTCCCTCTCTCTCTCTCTCTCTCTCTCTCTCGATTCTTTGTTGTTATGTCTTTAAATTTTGTGATCGAGTTTTAGATTGTGATTTACCACTACTTAATATTCTTAAAGCATTGTTAACAAGAGACCACGGGGGAATATATACCGTAAAATATTGACTGACATACGAATTAATTCCAGACAGTTGACCAGTTATTAGTTCTAAAGGGCGCGCTACGATCTAAAAATAACAGTAATTTAGAGACAGTATATACTAGTTAATGGAGAACAATCATTCATGGTCACAAGGGAACAAGTTTGGTCAGAATTTAGTTTGACCAAGAAAGTCTTTGGGACGTTTATTTGATCAATATTTTAATTCAAATTCATATAATAAATACAGGATACGATAACAAGCTTTATCAGCTTATATAAGTGGGTAAGACGCTGGCTCGCTAGCCTGGAGGTCGATCCCTGCATTGGCCGAGAAAGTTCATCCAGATTTTCCGGCGTGGTTCCCCCTTGTCAGTGATGCAGGACGGAGGGCCTGGTAAGGACAGTCGTCTAGTCATTCGGATGAGACGAAAAACCGAGGTCCCGTGTACACATTGGCGTGCACGTAAAAGATCCCTTAACAGTTGGAATTCGATATAAGAGTAGGTTGTAGTGCCGCTGTCCGGGCAAAATTTCCCTCATAGCACACTGTAGTTGAGTTCTGAGATTGAGTATTGAGATCGAAATTGTGATCGTGATCGAGATCGAGATTGACTGAAAATATGATTATGATTTGAAAGTATTCGCCAGCGAACTTCAGAATTTCGGTCATTTCTGGGGACCTGCACGAGCTGAGCTATGATCGATACAATCATAATTATTATTTACAGGCCTAATTAGAGTATTTAGATTCATATAAAACGTTTATATGTCCAACCTCGTGGGTTTTCTCCGAGTCCTCCGGTTTCCTCCCACTGCTAAAGACCCCTACGCCCAAGCGAATTGTTGAAATGAAACTGAACAATATGCTAGTCCCGAAATGATCTAGTTTGTGTCGAGTGGCCGTTAAACTCCATCTTGTAACCTCGCTGCGCTCGAAATAAGATGGATAGCTTTCACTTATTCCAACTCCACATAACATTTTCTTTATATACATGTGAAAAAGATTCACATCGGTGAAGGACACGCATATCCTTACACCATTTTGTAGAAAAATCTAGATTCCTAGCTACTGTTTTAATACAAGGTGATCCATATTCCAATCTCGGTGGAATACTCGGAATACTGAATCTGGAATCTGAATTGGCTTCAAGTACATTTATAGACAATCTATGCCGTTCTGTTTTCAAGCACACGTACATTTTATCAGTGTAGAACAGCACATTGAATTAAATTGATATTATGGATTCCCTGTAGTCCATACATCAAGCCAAGATTCTAAAGCTATTTAATACAAGTAGATTTATAAAAGAGCAAGCATGGTAATTGTGAATGGCTATTTTATCTCCTCCCGTGTCATTCCACTTTATGTGAAGTCTTCTTCAAATAAAAGACGAATGTAATAACTTGTCAAAACCATACG